AAAAAAAAAAAAAAAGATAATCCACCTTAACCCCGGCTGAGGTGGGCACCAACCACTGCCCTCAAGGTACCTGTGACGAAAATCAAAGCACACTACCATATATGTATGTATATTAAACAGAACTGCCGGGTAAACGGCAGGCAGAGAGGGAGAAGAGGACAACAAACGAGGGTGTGTGTGTATATATATGTATATATTGTCACAAGAATATCAGAGCGCAAATGTGAAAAAAAAAAAAGAAGAAAAAAAAAAAAGGAAAGAAAACAGGAAAAAATGAATTCAGTTTTTTGTATCTTCTTCCTTATACCCCCCCCCTGTTCAGAACCTCTTGCGTACAAGGCCGCCCGCGTGGATGTAGATTGAGCGGCGGCTGCCCCCACCCCCGTGTGTCTTATCGACCCACTTGCACACAGCCAGAAAGCAAAGAGGCAAAGAAAAGAGGAAGGGAACAGCCAAATAATACAGAACAGGGGGCAACAAAACAGATCCCAGATGACAAGTCCCACATGCAAGCACCGCCCCAGTCCTACGCAGGCCAAACGACGGGACAAGACCAACCAGGATGTCAAAACACAAAACATTCTTGTCTGCAAAGAAATAAAAAAGAACCCGGAGAACCGGTATAAAAGACAATCCCGAATGACGATTCCCACATACAAGCACCGCCCCGCGTTCCAAAAGGCCGAACAACGGGAAACAACCAACCAGGATGCCACCAAGACAATGAAAAAACCGGATGATAAAAAAAAAAAAAAAAAAAAAAAAAAAAACGGATGACTGATCCCACATAAAGCACCGCTACCTTCTTAGACCGAATAACGGGACAAAACCAACCGGGATATATATACTTACATGATATATGAACGGGGGCGTTATTGCTTGTGTTTTTGTTCGGTGAGTGCTCTGCTTCTTCCAGGTAGTGCTTTCTCTCCTACACTCGCTGAATGCATCCTCGGTAAATTCTCGGTGAATGCTCGGTGAATTCTCGCCATGGATGGATCGCTGAATCCACGGTGAATGCTCGCTGAATGCTCGGTGAATTCTCCGGCTCGATTGAGATCGGGCCCAACTATATCCTTATCCTTATCCATATCTTTTTGAATCCTTCATCAATCCCAAGTCTCACACAGTTTTTCCCTGTCAGACAGCAGCAGGTCCAAATATAAAACATACCCCCTTTAGGTGGAGGGTGGGAGGGTGTTGGGGGGGGGGGGGGGGGGGGAGAAGGAAGGGGGTTTACAAATGGTTTATGACTCCCTGTAGTAGTCTCTTTGATTGCCTTGTAGCAGGCGTTTGACACATGGCAGCTGAAGCGTTGATGACATCTTTGACAATGGACAATGCCTGCCCTCCCCTCTCTCTGGAGCCGTCGCCGCACGACGACGCGGCCGAGACCTACCGCCATAGCCTGCTCACAGATCGGGCTCCCGACATCAACCTCCCGCTGTCGGTGGACATAGAGAGTGCGATGGATCCGTGGGAGCCGGGACCCCCGACGTCGCAGTCGCAATTCTCGCCTCCGCCACCCGATCCCAACCTGCTTCACAAGGCTGCGAGTGACACGTCATGCAGTCGGGATACCAGCACGGACGAAGAGGGGGAAGAGGATCAGCTGAGCGACAGCCTGACAGCTGGCAACAGCGGGAGCAGCAGCGGTTGTCTTATCCATTTGAATAATGGTGCTAGTGGAAAKGGGGCTGGSGGGGGGGCGCARGGGGGRGGSGGGGGGGGRGGAGGAGGAGGAGGAGGGGGAGGAAATGCTGGTGATCTGAACATAGATTACGGGCTGACTCTGAGTGACCTTAGTTGCACGGGGGGAGCGGGCTGCGCTGCTGCTGGCGATGGAGGGGTTGAGGGTTTTGCAGCTGTGGGGGTAGTAGGGTCCGGCGGTGGGTTGGGTGTTCCCCCGGGCATGGGGAAATGTGGGGTGGGGGGGGGTGGCGATGGGAGCAGCATGGCTATGGTGGATGCTGAAGGTGATGCAGTCTGCTCCGAAGGCGGCGGCGGAGGAGGAGGAGGAGGAGGGATAGGAGGAGGGGTAGGAGTAGCCACTGGGGGAGGAGGAGGAGGAGGAGGAGGAGGAGGAGGAGGAGGAGGAGGGGTCTGCAGTAATCTTAAGATGAGGAAAGGTGCAAGGCGTGAGGACGCGATCTGGGGGGCATGGTTCTTCTTCACCCATTACTTCAAGCCTGCATTTAAGGACACAGCGGGGCGGCAGAAGTGTGGGGGAGATGGCGGTGAGGGAGGAGGAGCAGGCGACGCAGCACACGTGGCATCTCCTGGACCGTCCGTTGCCGCCAGCCTCGACTGCAGTGGATGGACCCCATCCGATCTACGACTGGATTGCTTCCTTGTGCAGCATGACATGGAAAATCTTTACATGTGGAGTTTTATGCTCAAGCCTGAGAATGCACTTGGGAAGATGCAGCTGAGGAGCTACATCAATGGCCATTCGTGGAACGGAGAGCCACCATTTCCATTCAGCGTCGAAAAGGGGTTCACACGAAGCCATAAGTATGTATGTATGTATGTATGTATGTGTGTATGTGCTATCATCACTCTCCTCAAAACCTGCTTAAAACAGAAAAAAGAGAGAAGAAAAAGTCCTCATGATTTTGTTTTTTAAAGGATGATGACGGCCTTGAGATATGTCTCTGGGCCCAGGTAAAAATTCAAAGCGATTTGATTCTGGCCGTCCTCAGCGCTGCAAACCAGCAGCGTTGCCGCGAGATAGCGCACTGCCAGGATGAGCTGCCCAGGGCGATGCACTTTCTCTAAATGGAAAGTGCTGCCATTTAGGAAAGTGCTGCCTGGCTCACGAGCAGCGTGGGCTTAGAGGCCGTGTGCTGTGTAGCCTGCCTTCGGGCCAAAGTGTCTGCGCCCAGGCCCAATGCAGACAGTGGCTTGGGCCCGCAACAGTTAAGCAGCCCAACTGTGCGACATGGCCAGCGTCACACGCTGCAATCCCATTGGTCGAGAGGCCTCTGGCCACGTTGCTGCTTGGTAGCTGCTTGGTAGCTGCTTGGTAGAGCCCGGAGGCTCAAAATGTCGTGTTGACACTGGTGTGGGCCTTGGAACCAACTGGCGCGTGTCACACGTCTGGCGCCCCTACATGCAAAAATGACAAAATAGGGCCTCAGGGTGCAATGCAGGCCTGCCTTCACTTAGGGCGGGCACGAGGCTGGGTGGGGGCCTCGACAACGGTGGGCAAAATGGCCACGGATCAGATGTTAAACTGATTAGAACAGATACTACACTTGAGCTTCATCAAAATGCTGAGAAAGGTATTAATAACCGTATTATTTTATTATTTTTAAATATTGATTATTATATTGTTATCTAACTTACATTTGATTATTATGTAATTTTTGCAAAATGCCCCTGAAAGTTCACGTATATGATAAAACACCCCTGGAAGATGTGGGTAGAGTGGAATACCCATCTGAAATTTTAATCAGTTTGTGAAATGGCATTTTGGGTTTAAATGTTTGCATTCTACAACCCCCCGGGGGGCGGGGGGGTTGGCTTCCTCAAGCCTGTGTAGCACGGGGAACGTGTTCGCGGCCCTTTCTGTTCGGGCGAACGCGTTCTCCCGTCCGCGCGAACAGGTCGAGAACACGTTCGCGAGAATGTGTTTTCAAGGCCCGCGAATGGGGTTCGCCTGGGCCGGTACCTGTCGCCGGCGGGGCTTTGGAGGGGCCTGGGGAGCGCCGGGGTGTGTGTGTGTGTATGTGTGTGTGTGTGCGTGTGTGCGTGTGTGTGTGTGTGTGTGTGCGTGTGTGTGTGTGTGTATGTGTGTGTGTGTGTGTCTGTCTGTCTGTGTATGTGTGTGTCAGTGTGTCAGTGTGTAAGTGTGTCTGTGTGTCAGACTGTGCCAGACTGTTTCGTGGGACTTTGCATCAGACTGTGCTAGACTGTTTCGTCAGACTGTGCCATACGTGTGTGTCAGACTGTGCCAGACTGTTTCGTCGGACTTTGCATCAGACTGTGCCAG